AGCGTCGTACTGCCTTCCACAGGCATTGGACAGCTTTGCAGGCCCACCAGCTGTGTGGGGGGGTGGGGTGGGGTGCTCCAACCTCTCTGCACCCACTCCAGCATTTGTTACTTTCTGTGTTGTTTTCTTAATAGCCACCATTTCTAGATGGTTTGCTGTATCCCAGGGGCTGGGGCACATTTCTTCCACGTCTAATACCTATGCATGTCATTCACTTACTCCTGATCTTGGACAGAGTAGGTGGTGTTGTTCACGACTCTTGAGTCAGCGCCACCTCATGGACCTGACCAAACCGAACCCAACCAAACCCAATGTCACCCAATGTCATCCAATCCCGAGCCCCCTTCTTGGTTGCTGGTGTGTTTGAGTCCATCGTTGTGTGGCCACGGTGTCCCTTCACTCAGGAAGGGCTACCTTCATGGTCAACGACCTGCCTCTTTCCCAAACACGATGTCCTTTTCTAGCCATCTGGCTTTCCTGGTGCTCAAAGTCTCGCCTTCCTGGCCTCTACGGAGCTTTCTGGTTGGAGTGCTTCTCAGACTGATTTGGAAAGAGCAGGTGCTGGTGTTTCTGTTGCTAAGGGCCACTGAGCCGGTTCTGACTCCATGGCCCAACGTATAACAGCACCTGGTGCTGGGCCATGCTCACAATCAGGTCTAGGTTTGAGCCCAGGGTTGCAGCCACCATGTGAGGCCACTTGTGGAGTCTCTTTCCTCGTTTTCCACTGACCCTCTGCCGTGCCCAGCACAATGCCCTTTTCCAAGGACTTGTGCCTGTTGATGACATGCCCGAGGGACACGAGGCAAAGTCTTGCCACGCGCACTTCTAAGGAGTGTCCCGACTGTGCATTGTCCAAGAGTTGTCCGCTCGCTTGTTCGCTTGGTGGTCTGTGGTATACTCAGTATTCTTGGCCAACACTGGCATCCCAAGGCAACCATTCTTCTCCCATCTTGCCTATCCATCGACCAGCTTTCCCATGGACTGGGAAGAGGAGGTAGTCCCCGAATAGCTCTTGAATGAGTACCGGACTTCAGTTGGCAGTGGGGCTGTCTGCTGAGTCAGTGGCTGTGAGTCAGCGGCTGAAGTGAGTACAACACAAGGTCTCCAGAGAGGCAGATACTGCCTGGGCTGCAGTTCCCACCTAACTGACTGACTGAACGGCTGCCAGGGAGTGATTCCACAGTGAGATGGGGAGAGAGGAGGGGCACTTCCTTTCCCACTGTCTCTCTTTGCCTCCTCTATCCCACCCCTCCTGCCCAGTTTGACTCAAAAGAGATGGAGCTGCCATTGTGAGTCGCTCCAGGGTCATATTGGTGGCACTTGTGTGTACTGTACCTTGTGGGACAGAAGGTAAAGGGCATGTCAAACCCAACTTCTTGGCCAAGACCAATCCAACACAAGCATGGCAGAGGTCTTAGGGGGAATGGCTATTAGAGGCTCAAGACAAACCTGTCTCAATACAAGTGTGACATTCCCCCCAGCCCCCATGTTGGACTCATCAGTGATGCGTATTTGGGAGGTCCACACCACTGACTCATAACCTCCCCAGTGTTTACTTCTTTGGGCCATGGATTAAAGGAGGGTGTAGCACTCTGCTCAGCTTGACCCACCAAGTGGAAAGTTTTGGGAGCTTCTGCAAGCCCCGAGGATACCATGGTGTACATCTGATCGTTGTATTTGAAAGGATGCCTGAGATGTATTGGAAAGGTTTTCTTTTTTTAAGCATATATCTATTTTGTGCAGACGCCCCCCCCCACCCCAATCTTGCTTTGTTTCAGGAAGCATTCCTGTACAGCATCCCCGATGGCGGCAGTCCGGATGAACGGAATTTCCCATGCTGCCTCGGATGGGTCAGGGCTCCCATCCTGCTCTGCTCCCGACAGACGGCTGAGTTAATGAGGAACAGTGTTGATGTGAATGTTATGTCACGCATGTCATGTCGCAATCACTAGCCACAGTGGACTAGTCATGACAATTCCCACCCGTTGGTTTCTCGTTTTTTGTTTTGTTCCTTCTCTTCTCCTTCTCCTCTTCTTTCTCCTTAATTGTCATTTTGGTATGAGCATTTTCCTGTATGTGGGTGAGCCCAGCTCTTGCCACCTAGGACTTGAGCAATGACATCTGGAGCTGATGTCACCCACTGTGGTCATTTGTGGTATCCACCTCCCTCTATGAACCCTGGGGTCTTGCCCCTGCCTCTGGCTCCCCTGGGCTCCTTCTCTCTCCCATTGGCCACGTAGATGTGGTGCGGAGGGTTCCGGTGATGAGTGTGAAGGGTAACACCAACACCACTGACACCACAGCCGTGGCAGCCCCTCCCTAATAACACTACTGCCTTGGTGGCCCCTCCCCATGCACTATTGACCTGCCAGCTGCTGTGAACCCTGGTGCCATTTGGATGTCACTTCTCTGACACTGTGGGAGGGGGGGGTGCAGACTGCTAGGGCACCCCTTCTCCCAGTAAAACTTCTAGACTTGAAACCTTGTCTTTGAAAGGAGATGAGGGAGAGATGAGGGCAAACGGGATGACGTCTTCTGAGTACTAACAACTGATGTCCCTCCCTCCATCTCTGCTGACACACACTCTGGTCATTAATATTCGGATGAAGCTGTGTCCTAAGGGGTCGGGGGTGGGGAGCGGCCATCTCTAAGGGGAGTCTCTGAGAGCGGTTTCAAGCCTCCTGTCAAGGATTGTGTAAACCTAACTTCTCTGTAACACCAACGCCATGGAGACAGACTGACTCCAGTAAGATTCCTTCCGAAATGAGACAGGAGAACTGCCAAAGTTCTCTCTGTGGTCTGGTTTCCTGGGGGTGAGTCGTTGGGGGCAGCGGAGAGCCTCTCTCTTGAGCACCGGATCCAGCCTCTTCCAGCGGAGTTACATGCAAGTGACTAGTCCTTCCATCCACTCAATTCCGACACACAGGAGCCCCGTAGGACAGGGTAGAACTGCCCCCATGGGTTTCCAGGACTGAAGCTCTTTACGGGAGCAGAAAGCCCTGTCTTTCTCCTGTGAAGTAGCCCAAGGCGTAGCTGCTATACCTCCAGGGCTTCTGGAACAGCTGTAACCAATACCTGGTTCTGAGTCCTGCCGCCCCGCCCCGTGTCAGAGAAGAACCATGCTCCACAGTGTGTTCAACGGTGGATTGTCTGCCCGTTTGCCAGGCTTTTCTACCCAGGTGCACTCAGGTGGGCTTGAACCACTAATCTTTCTGTGAGAGCTAAGCCCATTAATAGTTTGCACCATCTCCCAGAGACTCAGACTATCAAAAAAGCAAGCAAGCAGACAAAATAAGCCCAAACTCACTGCCATGGAGTGGATGCTGACTCATAGCACCCCGTAGGACAGGGTAGAACCGCCCCTCTGTGAGTTTCCAAGACTGTAACCGTTTGCTGGAAGAGAAAGCCCAGCCTGTCCCCAGAGGAGTGGCTGGTGGTTTCGAACTGCACATGTTGAGGGTCGCAGCCCAACGGGTAACCAGGAATGCACCAGGCTTCCTCCATCGACTGGAAGGACAGGTGGGATGCTCAGTGTCTTTTGACATCTTAATTCACTTTTCTCAGTGAACATCATTCTCTTCCTGACAAGAGGGTAAGAAGAGGCGTCCGGCTGCCTTACACACCACGAGTCCCAGGAGGAGACTGGGTATCCCCAGCGGGACGTGTGGGTTAGCACGAGCAGAAGGTCTGCTCTTGATGGCTCTGCGGATGGAAACAGACGACCGAGGCCTTAGCTTGGGGAGAGCTTCGCTTAAGGAGCGAGAAGCGGGGTGGGGGGGTGTTGCATTCTGAACCCACTAGAATCGTCGATGCAAGTACCCAGGCAATGCCCTTCCTCTCCCAGTAGGCCTGTGCTCAGAATTTTACTTCCGTGCAATTCCCACCACCCTTCTCTCTCCCAGGCTTTTACCAGTTACCACCCAGCCCCCTTTGACTCCCAGTGGTTGTGTGTGTATGTGTGTTTGTGTGTGTAAGAGAGAGAGAGAGAGAGAG